TTATTGAGGGGGAGCTTTTGAATTTTCAAATGTTTTTAATTATAAAATGTATCACTTACTCTCCATTGTTATTTTTTAACCTTAAAGTTGAATTATTTTTTATATAACAAAAAAGGCGAGAAGTATGGTTTGAAAATTTTAATTTCAAGAATGAAAAAGGGGGAGCTTTAATGTTTTTCCAAAATATATCTCTTTTTCATTAAATGTTTTATTAAGGAGAGTTTTGCCAAAAATGATTTTTCAAATGTTTTATTATATCAAAAAGGGGGAGATTTTTGAACCATGTTTTATAATATTTTGATATAACAAATTAAGGTAAAATGTTTTTGGACTTGATTGAATTTATTCAAATTTTTAAAAAATAATTCAAAGTCCAATAAACTAGAATTTGAGCAAAAACAGTTTTCACATACGAAGTACCGATACTATTCTTACAGTATCGATACTATATGAATAGTACTAATATTGTTTATGTGGTATTGATACCAAGGGTAAGAGAAGTATCAATACTCTATATGTAGTATCGATACAACCAGTATTTTTCAAATAACTCAAATTCCAGAATGCAAAATAGGTACCGAAACCAAAGTGGTACCGATACTACTTTACATAGTAGTATCAATACCATGGTCATAGTATCGATACAGTTAGGCCCAACGGCTAGTAACAACTAGTTTTATTTAAAATTAATAAAGGAAGTACTAATACCCATTAAAGGAGTATTGATACTCCCTATCCTGGGTAGTTTACCTTTGCAGAGAAAACATCCCCAAACGGCTAAAAATCATTCCCAACGGCTAGAAATGACCACAAACACATTCCAACTTATAAATACAAGTTCAAGACACTTGAAGAAGGTTGAAACACCTATCCAAGCAATCACACACAATAGAAACGATTTTTCACTCTTTATTTTATTTCTCTTATAAATAGTTGTGTTTTGCGAGCTTTAATTTGTAAACACCCTACCTTGTAGAGGTTTCTTTGTTTACTTTCTTTTTCTTTAGAAAAGGGGTTTTGGTTCTATCTTAGCCATTGAAAAGATAGGGAGTTTGTAAAGGTTATCTCTTTGTCATTGAAAAAGAAAGAACAAATTAGTGGATTTGTTGGAAAATTCTAAGTGATGAGCTTAGGTAATAGATGTAGACTTTGGTTGAGAAAGTCAAACCACTATAAATTCTTGTGCATAATTTTTCTATCTCTTTAAATCTCCTTACTCCCTAAAATTATCAAAAAGCCAATTCACCCCTCTTGGCACATTTTTAGTTGTCAATCAAGCTTCATAAATCCTAACACAAATGTTTGAGAGTCACGACGCTTACATGATAGTTCATAAGCTTACATGGTTTCTACAATTTTGATGTGATAGTTCACGATATTGTTGTGGTAGTACTCGATGATCGATGATGTGATGGATGGACTTAATTGATTATTAAAATGTTTGAGGACTTATTTAATTTAAAAAATAAAAAAATTATTTAGATTAAAAATATTAAGATACTAAATACATTAAATATAAAAATACTACAAAATTAAATTATTAAAAAAATTAATTTAAGGACTACATTGAGTGTAAAAAAGTTTAGGGATCATACTATTTTTTTATAAAAGTTTGAGGGTTTCAAATATCATTAAATCAAAAAAATTATTGTTAGAATGATTTAAACTTGTGTAAGCTAAGTTAAAAAATCTAGATATCATGTTACCTTAATTTTCAAATTTTTAAAACAATTTTAATGAAAATACTAAAAACATCTTTTTTTAAGTTTTCATATTTTAACTTATTTTTGTTTTCATTTTCCAAAAATCATTTTCTAATTTTACAACCAAACACGTTATTTTCAACGTTTTCTGTTTTCTAAGAAAATAAAAATGAAAATAGCCAATATTTTCTAAAACTAAATGTTGAAGAATCGGGTATAAATAACGAAAGAACACAAGAATTTTAACGAGGTTCGACAATGTGCTTACGTCCACTGTCCTCTTTACTAGTATATTTATGAGCCATACCTATCACTAAACGTACCCTAGTACGATTGGTTTGAAACATCATTTCCTTCATAATTTGTTTTCATTTTTTTTACCAGTTTGGTGTTTAATTTTGCATTCAAAACATACTTTTCACTAAAAGCAATTTTTAAAAACTTTACCAAACGTATCCTAAATCCACTTGGGTGGGGTTTGTGTTGGGATTAAATCCCAAAATCGTCGTTCATGTTGGGGGAGTATACAAGGCGAAGGAGGGAGAGAGTATACATGTTTCAGATGGGCGACGGCCCAGGGCAGCATGTAGGGGCATCATTTTCTAGAAGACAAAGATGGGCAGCATGTACTTGCTATTGCAAGCTGATTTGGACAAAGAAAGGTGCTGATGACTTTGGTTTTGTTGGTAATTATTTGGTTCACCATTCAACTCGACATCAGCTGAGTCAAACCCTTGTTCAATTCCCCCACTTGTTCTTTTCTCACCACTTAATTGCATTGGAGAATCAGAGAATGAAGTGTTGAGTGAATGGGTTGAGGGGGCATCATATTTTCTTTACTGGTTTTGTTTGGTTTGTGTTAAATTAATCAATGAAATCGGTATAACGAAATGAAAGGAGTTATAATTCTTTTATGGGATTTGAATTTCTAATTTTTGCATCTGGTGTTGTAATTTTTCACTTAAAATTTTGTTTTGTTGATGGGGATTGAAAGAAAATCTGGAAAAAGAAAAGTTCATTTGTTGGTTGTTTTCAGTGTTGGGTTATTTGAGAATTATTATTAATCATTCTAAATGTATAGAATGGGCTGTTGAAAAGCGAGCAGTGAGACTTGTTATATAGGGAACTGAGAGCTTTATTTGAAATGAAGTTGTAACATATAGCTTCTATGGAAATTATCTTTATCCAAAAGGAAATGTTACCTATTGTTTCTACGGAAATGATCTTTATCTGAAGTGAAAATTCTCTGGTTTTTTGGATTTTGAAGTCTATAGAGAATGGTGAGACAATGAATAGATTTATTAGGATTAGGAGCCGCTTTTTGTAATGCGGAAGGAGTTGTTGATATTAGATTTAGGGCCAGGAACTGTACAAGTTTGCACCCATGAATGGGTTAAATCCTAATTCGTTGCTTCACCATCCAGACTGGAAAATGCCGGGTTCGGATTCATTGATTTTTTTGAGGTGTTGTGGTGTCATTTTTCCTGAACTTCTCTGATTCTGATCTTACATGTTTGCTTTTAATTTTATGTTTGTAATAGTTTTTCGGATATAAGCAATTAGCATGTCACACGGATCTCTCATGTTATGTATGTCTTTTCTTCTTTTTACACTGTACAAATCCAGCAGCAGGTCGAGAGACATGCTGCCATTGCACGATTAGAACAAAGTCGGATAATTCTTGCATTGAGATTGGCTGAGCATCATGGAAAGAAGTACAAAAGTAATTGATGAAGCTCTAGTTTTTGTGGGAGATGTACACGATGCTAGCCGTTATGTCTCACCCGAAGACCTTTACCGTACGCCAAACAGTCTATTTGGACAGAATCTAGTATCAAACAAAGGGAAGTACTCTGATAAGCTAATCAAAGTTCTGGTTTCTAGCTTCAACTATGCAAAGAAATCCCTGAATTTTGACCATATGGGTGGGATACTAAGCAATGTAGCTATATTCGCAATCAGCATGGTAGCAATGATGCATCTCCAACAGCTTGCTCTTTCAGAACATTCAGGGAGACAAGAAGATAACATCAACAACCAGAGAAACCCGAGAAAGAATTATCAACTTGAAGGGCATAAAATTATTACCTAGCCCAGGGCATTAAAACTTATTGGACCGGCCTTGCCTATAATATAGGGACCTTCTTAGTATTTATACCATCTTGTAGCCTATTATCAAACAAGCTCCGAGATGGATTTTGGTTTGCAGAGTACTAAAAGATGTTCCTTTCATATGACTGAAAGCAACCTAAGTTTGTTTTGGTTAGTACTTGGTAGATGATTGCTAATAGTTTGATTAAATAATTACTTTAGTTCACATTTTTTTAGAACATTGTGATCATAACATTTTATTTTGTGACAAAAAAAATCTTTTTGTAGTTAAAAATTATTAGTCAACAAACGAGTAATGATCTAAAGTAAGTTTTTTACCTTATGAATGTTGAAAGGTGAAAGTACTCCCAAAAAAGGAGTAAGAATTAAAACGATTATTTAGTCAAATGCAACAGCGAATGTACATTGATGGTAGGGTGGGCACATGCCCCCTAAAATTTCCTAGAATTCAAATTTTTTTCTTTAAAACTCGAAGTTGTGTTCATTGTTATGTGTGTCCACCCTGAAAATTTATGGTGTCCACCCTGAAAATTAATCGTATCAAAAAATTTATATTATTAATATATATGTATCCACCCTCAAAATAATTTCTAAATCCGCCACTAGTCAAATGTTGAAGTCTTTTTTTCCTAAAATGAAACATTGGAGTTAAAATACTTCAAAAAATGGAGACAAAAAATAACTATTTAATCAAACATTAAGAGCATTTTTAGCATTATGTCTATATTATCCCTTACTTTAACAAGATCTTTCATTTACAGTCCTTCCAAGGGTACACTTCGGTCATTTGCTTTTTTTCTTTTCTTTTCTTTTCTGGGAATTAAGAAAATTCTATGTCCCATTGGGAATTGGAGTCTTGCCAATGCCATCTACAGTGTTTTGGTAAGTTCCTCGCATCATCAAATTATGTTGTGGATTGGAGCACACCTTTGTAAACTCAAACCATTGTGTTACTAATTTGTCATTTGTAGTGGAAACTGAAAAGAAGTGAATTTTGTAACTTTAGAAACCAGTTAAGAAGGAGAACCTCAAATACAGGATTTGATGATGTAATGAAGTATGTGTTGCCTCGGAAACATTACACTAGACATAATAACAGTAAATGCAATTATATGGGGCTGCTGAATGCTGATACTAACTTAATCTTGCATAGACTGTAGCTTCTAAGATAACAAGAAGAGAAGATGGTCAAAAATAAAGGATAAGTTAAAAACACTCTTATGAGATTACAAAAGTAATAAAACAAACTTGATACCAACACAACCACATAACTCTTGCTCTCTTGCCTCAAATTCGGGATTCGATCCATCATCACCATCAGATTTTGAGTAGTTCTAAACTCTGTACCGTCTCCGATTCTTGCAGGTTCTTTGATGTTTTTCTTGCAACTTCCTCAGCTTGAGCAGGTGATTTGTTGGGCAGGGCAGAAGCAGTAACAGTCACAGTATCTTCATTTCCGACAGGAATGGTTTGTTTTTCTTTAAGTACCGGTGGAGCGGCAAATATGGGAACTGCCCGCCTAATGGCGACAGGTGAGGCGATTTGTACAGGAGCTAGCAGCAGTTGGGTGGGGAGTGGAGATGGTGATGGGTGAGGAACTACAGATTTTGGTGGTTGAACGGGAAGAACAGACTGTGCTGGATAAGTAGGAAGTGCTGATGCTGGTGGTTGAGGGGATACTGCCGATGGTGCTGGACGTGGTGGTGCAGAGAAAACAGGCACTGCAGTTCTTATTGTCACCGGTGGAGCAATGCCATGGCAAGGTGTCCTTAATTGTCGGATGGGGACATAAGGAGCTGCTCCAGCTGCAGGGAATTTCAGTGGACGAGCACCACAGCTTTCAGCTACATATGTTTGTGATGATGCCGGTATGGACTTGTCACTTGCTGCTGCTGACATCGACCTGTTTCGAGGAACCCCCTTGGGGCAGATTAAAGGAAGGATTTTTGAGGTGGCAGCAGGAGACTGTGGACTTGTTGGTCTAGGATTCTGAGTAGGAAACTTCTTTGTAAATAGTATCGGGCCACCGGAGGAGTTTGACATGGCCATCTTTTCCTTTATTCGGTAATTCAACAGTGCCCGAGCTATTGTTATCTGTTCAAGCTCATCGTTGTTCTCAGGCTCTGAAGAAGAATTTGCGGTTTCTTTTGCCACTGGAAATAAAATATAATATTTCAGTTTCAGCTAAAAGATAATTATAATCTAGATGAAAAACGAAAACATTAAACAATTTTACCATCCCAACATTAATCCATAGGAAAAATGGAACCTTGAGTTGACTCACATAGTTTTAGAGATGTCCAAGCTGCCATGGCTGCATTCTTTTCTGCTTGTTTCTTGTTCTTAGCAGGTTCCCCAGTGAATTTGATTCCAGCCAACTCAACTATTCCCGTAAAAATAGGTAGGTGTCCAAGGCCTGATCTAAATGTCATATACTGCGGCAATGGAGCTCCGACTCTTTGTGCTATTTCCTGTAAGAGGTTTTTATAAACCCCCGTCTCATCCTAACATTACAAAGCCAAATCAGTATCAACCCGGTGAAGCTTGAGACAACCAAGGCATATTCAAGAAAATTCATATATAAACACAGCAAAATTCATGTCATCCACTATCATGAATATCGTATGAAATTATCAACTAAAATGCCTCACATATGTATAATTCTACATAATCCAAACCAAAATCCGAGCCCCAAAATCAATCAGCTTAATCATACTACGCCAAGCTAAGCATACATTACGAGAATTCAAATTCAAATCCAAAAACAACTTGTAGACACTAATTTTCGTCCATATTTTTTATTATTATTTTATACATATATACCTATATATATATTATATGGTTTGCAAACGGTTTTTGAAAATATATATATAATATATAGTTTTTAAAAAGAAAACATTTTGAAAATATGGGTAATATATAGTTTTTTTAAAATATTTTTTGAAAACTATATAACATATAGTTTTTAAAACATTTTAGAAAATATATATAACATATAGTTTTAAAATCATTTTAAAAACTTATATAATATATAGTTTTAAAAACATTTTTGAATAAATTATATAATATATAGTTTTAAAAACGTTTTTTAAAAACTTATATAATATTTTTAAAACATTTTGAAAACTATATAATATAGTTTTGAAAACTTTTTTAAATATAATATATAGTTTAAAAAATATTTTTGAAATATATGTATTATATAATTTATATTATATCAGTATTATTATTATTTATTTTCTTTTTATTATTTTCTTTTTATGTTTTTTTAGGGTCCAAACAGTCCAATAAGTCTCGAGGGCCTGATCCAGCCCAGAGCTCAGATTAGGGTTCCAACGTATGTTCAAACAGGCGCAGCGTAAGCCAAGGAGGTCAAGGGTCAGTCACACCGGCCACCGAGATTTCCGGCCGAGGAGATCGGGACTGACCCATCCCGAAATCCCCGGCCAACTAACCACGAGCACGTTACCGTTATCATCGGAGCAGACCCCCGGTGGGGTGGGTATAAATATCCCACCACGGCCATCAGGGAGGGGGAGCCACGCAAATCTCAGAAGCATAAACACAGTAAACCAAATAACCAAAACAAGATCAAGGAGAACCCACAACGGATCAACAGTAAACCAAGAGTTCAAACCAACAACAAGTAAAAACTGAAGCCAACAGTACATCAGAGTCACAAAAACCAGAAACCAGAAGACATCAAAAACCCATCAAACCACAACTACCAAATACATCCAAGATACAAAGCAAAATATATCAAAGGAAGGATCGAAACTCTTGGCGCGAGGAAAAGCACCACCGTGAGGAACGAAAAACGTCGGGATACGAAGGGTTTTAAGGGTAAAAATCGAATATTTACGCCTAGATCTACGCCGGTAGGGGCATGTTTTGTGTTTTTGAGTCACATATTTAGGTTTACGGGGTGGAGAGGAGTATTTTGAGGGGCTTTGGTTTTTTCGGAATCGCCAGGGGAGAGAGCTTCAGAGCCTTCTCTCGCTTGAGAGAAGAATCTGTGAGGAAATGGTGGAAATGAGCTTGAGAAAGGGTGTGTTTGGGCATTTATATACGAGGGACCAGTGTGCAAATAAAGGATTCTTAAATCCTTTCCGCAGTCCCTATCATTTTGAGTCGCAGTTCAATTTGGTCACTACCTGTAAATTGGCCTCCATATTTCTGATTTAATCAATTTGGTCCCTATTTATATTTTTTTATATTCTGTGAATTGGTCCCCTAACTTTTTATTTGTTCTTTTGCAGTTCATTTTCTAATTCATTAAGCTCAATTTGTTCCAATTTGATCCTAAATTTTATCTCTATTTTTTATTTTACTTTTTAAATATTTTTTTTTTAAATTTAACCTTTTATTATTATTTTATTATTTCTTTCTTTCATTATTATTATTATTTTTTATATTTTTTTTTTATTTATTAGCATTTTGTTTTCGCTTTTTATCTAACGTATTTTGTTTCAGTCATGGTTTCAGCCGATCAAATGGTAAGTAATTCGGATCGAATGAATTTAATTTTAATTTAAATTCTAATTTTCGCAATTAAAGACAACCGACAAATTAATTGGTACCGAAAGGGCGGTTCAAGGGTGCTAATCCTTCCTTGACCGTAACCGACTCCCGAACCCGACACGTTTCTGGTACGACGCAGATCAGGTAAGATGGTATCCGGCCCACCTAAATTCGTTTTAAAGTGGTCGGTGGCGACTCCAATTCATTTAATCCAAGTCGAAGCCCAATTCCGGGGCACAACCGAAAGACGGTTCCGACACAACTCATACCATTCATACATCAAAACTCGGTCTCAAAACTGCAATTCATAAAAAAGATGACCTAGATAATTACGGTATCCTAATCCCATATCTGCATTTGCTAGATTAAGCCTATAACTATAACAACCCCTCAAAGATTATATATTTCGTTTTGGATAGATTCAAGTTGATCAGTTGCTAAAGCAAAACTACAAAGTTCTCTAAGTTGATGAACTGAAACCGAACCCGCACTTTCCGGTTCTTCCTCATTAGATAACCCGACCTGAAAGACCACATTTTTGCAGGGAAGAAATCCATACATGAATATATACACAAATATTTGCATCTCATCTACTTATTTATTTTGGACGCGGAATTGCATCCACATCTGCTCATAGACTTACTTGAATTTAATTAGCCTGCAAGAGGTTAGGACACCAAAGTAATTTTAAAAAAAATTGATTTCTCCACCGTTTTATTTTCAGGCAGTCAATTGAGACGACCTGAAAGGAAACATTTTTCAGGACCGAAATACCCTAGATTAAGCCATTAATTACACCTACAAAACAAAATTTGTCCGACTGCAGCTGTTTCCCAGACTATGAGAAGAGAAAAAGAAAAGAAAATATTTAATTAATTAAGGCATTAAATGTCATAACATGGATTCTTAACTCCCCATTGTTATTTCCCTTAAAAATTGATTTAATTTTCGTTTTCGTCACCGACTAAAAAGTCAAGAAAATCCTACTACCTTCGGGTAATTCATTAACTATTGAAGGGCATTCTATTAATTTCCACTCTCCTCACAGCCAGCTTAACTGAACCTCCGGCGATTACGGCGGCGGCGCAGGCTAACGCCGATTACTCCCCATGGAAAAAAGGGGGGATATCAAGAAAGAAAGGCGAACATTAGCATATGCTTTGAGGAAAAAAAAACTTACTAGGATTCTAGCGGCGAGGGAGTGAGAAGGTCCACGATTAGAGATGGATTGGAGTGCGACTTCGGCGGCGGAGTGTTCGGCTTGACGGAGAGTAGAACAGTACTGAGGGCTCTCGAAGGTTTCTCCGTTAAAGTTAACGGTGGCCTTGAACCTCGGCGCGTGGTCTGGACCTTCCCTAATGCACGTATAGGAAGGAAGATTAAAGCAGCTCCTCTGGGCCAGCTCTTGTAGCTGGTTCTTATACATTTCTCCCTTCTCTCTGTCTGCCTCAAATGAAACCCAAAAAAAGAAAAGAAAAATATCACTTTTTTCTTCTAATTTTTGTTCGAATACTTTATCTGTTTTCCCATGGTTGAAGAAGGGGAAATGGATTAGGACCCAGATCGGGTCGGGTCGAGACGGGAAATGGGTCAGGTGAGATCAAGGTTTTAGGGTTTCTCAGGGCTCCGTAGAAAACGTAAAAAAGAAGAAAAAGGAGGAAGAAAGAAAAGTAGCATTCTTTTTGGTGAAATGGGAAGGCAAAGGGAAGGCTTTGTTTTGTTTTTTTTAATGGTTTTCAGAACCGGATCGATTAGCGAATTAGTCATATTATCAGTTCATTGATTTAATCGGTCAAATTGATTCAATCGGTTGAATCGATTTAATCGATCGAAATAATCGAACGATATTATAATTATTTAAAAAATTAAATAAAAATACCAAAAATATTTAATAAAAAATAATTTTTTATATCACAAGTTATATTTAAAACAAGTCATAACATATATAAGTTAAAAACCATAAAATCAAGTGAAAAAATGATTCAAATTAACTATAACATAATATTTAAGGTAAAATATATTAAATAATAAATATAATTATATAACTATAATTAAAAAATAAATTTGGGGTTAAAAAACTCATAACAAAATGATATTATTTTATTTAATTTTTTTTAAAAAACAATCTCACATGGCTAAGAAACATAGAAGAATATTCCAAAAGTCTAAAGAGTAAAAATATGAGAACAAAACAATCTCACATGGCTAAGAAACATAGAAGAGCATCCCAACTAACTTCTATAAATAATAGAGGTAATTTGACATTCAAAATTATAGAGCCTTTTGGTGAGCATTGAGTGAACTATTCTTTCACTTCAATCAAATTCGAATTTTAGGCTTCAATCGAGCTTCTAAATTTTTTTTGAGTTCAAAACTTTTCAAGTTCAAGTTTTAATATTATATTTCGAGTTCGAGTTGAACTTGATAATTTTTAGCTTGTGAGTTTGAGTCGAGTTGAGCTTACTTTTAAAGTTTTCAAGTTCGAGTCGAGCTTAGCAATACTCGAGTTCGACTTGTCTCGTTTAACAAACGACGTTGTTTGGTTTAATTTTAAAAAAAAATAAAAACAAAATTGGCGGTTTTTTCCGGTTTTCAGCCGGTCCGGTTCGAACGATTCAGTGATTCTGACCGGTTCATTAATAACGATTCAATTGATGTAAATTAAACCGGACTAGACAACGATTTCTGATTGAACCAATCGATCCGGTCCGATTTTCAAAACACTGTTCTTCTAGAAGAGTGTAAGGAGAAATTTATTTATTATATATTTATTTATTTTTTATTTCTGGGAGTCAACTGAACGTTAGGCTGCATGGTCGTGGATGTAATTTTCTTTTCTTTCAGATTATAAAATTAATGTATTAAATTGTGATATTTTGATTAATTATTTATCAATTGTTAACAAAAAAGCAAAATTTTAAATTATTAAATATAAGTAACTAAATTATTAAATTGTTGTTAATTATTGCTGTAGATAAATTGTGGAACAATAAATTTAAAAGTTAGTAATTTAATGGTATTTTTAATATTTATTTTGGTAAAATATATAAATGGTCACTAAACTTTTCACATGCTTGCATTTAGGTCCCCAACTTTTAAAACTTGCAATACAACCACCAAACATTTAGTTCGTTTGCAATATGATACCCGACATAACGGCCGTTTCACTGCCGTTAGGGTAAATTATATAAATGGTCATTGAACTTTTCAGGTGCTTGCATTTAGGTCCCTAAACTTTTAAAACTTGCAACACAATCATCAATTACATTCTAAACTCCAAATTCCAAAATACTTCAATTATATTCTAAACCTCAAATTCAAAAAAATACTTCAATTACATGACCAACCCCAAATTCATAATCCATTATCAAAATCTACCATAACAAACTAAACTTGAAGTAGCAACCCTAAACCCTCAAAGTATAACCCTAAATGCTAAATTTCCCCACCAATTAACCCAACATAATCAATAACATTTAGTTCATTTTGGGTCCATAACAATAAGTGATTATGTTGGGTTTAGGATTTAAAAGTTAGATTTAACCAACTATAAGCGAATAATACTCAATTCGATTCGAAAAAATTATTTTTCGATTTGAATTGATTAAAAAAATTGATATAAATTGACTTTGAGTTGTAATTTCATAAACTCAACTTAAAAAAAATTCAAGTTAAAATCAAGTTGTAAAATAAAACTCGAATATCTCAAATTTTTAATAATTAGTGGATTAATTTTTAAGTTTGAGTCAAGTCCCTTGACTCTGTATGATATATGTATATCACATATGGAAAAAATATGAAGAAATATACGTATTGTATATGGTTAAAAACTATTTAAATTATAATAAAATAATATTATAGTTTTATAAATATTTATAATTAAATTTAAACAAAAACTCGAGAATTCAATTCAATTCGGCTTGATCTAAATTTTATAAACTCAAATCGAAAAAATTTCGAGTCAACTATTTTATAAACTGAACTGAATTAGAATCAAATAATATTATAATATGATAAATATTTGTAATTAAATTTAAACAGAAACTCGAAAATTAAATTCAATTCGACTTGATTTAAATTTTATAACCTCAAATCAAAAAAATTTCGAGTCAACTATTTTATAAACTATTTTGTTATGGTAGATTTTGAGAATGGATTGTAAATTTGGGGTTGGGCATGTAATTAAAGTGTTTTGAAAATTGAGGTTTAGAATGTAATTGAAGTATTTTGGATTTTGGGGTTTAGAATATAATTGATGACTGTGTTGCAAGTTTTAAAAATTGGGGGGGGGGACCTATATGCAAATGCCTGAAAAGTTCAGTGATCATTTATATAATTTACCCTAACGGCAGTGAAACGACCGTTATGTCTGGGACCATATTGCAAATGAACTAAATGTTTGGTGACCGTATTGCAAGTTTTAAAAGTTTGAGGACCTAAATGCAAGCATATAAAAAATTCAATGACCATTTATATACTTTACACTATTTATTTTTGTAGATATTTATTAACTATGTCAATAGTCCATTTTGTTTTTGGTATGATCGACTTTGGTCACCGGTTTTTTAATTAAATACGCTTAATCCCTAACGTTATCTGTCCGTTCGGTTCAAGTCCCTAAGCCGTTAACTTCCGTTAATTCAGTAACGAAAGTATGAGTTGGAAATTTAAAAATAATAAATAAATACACGTAAATTACTTGTAAATGACGTGGAAATAAGAGAATTAAGAAATAAAAGAATCCCAACAAATTTACACGTTTCTCCTTCCTCCATACTGTTCACATTGTCAGGGTTTCTTCAATGACAAAGCGATCTTGAAGGTGTGCAAAATCTATTACTTATCTTATGGCTTTTAAATATTGTATTATATGAAAAAAATTCTGATATAAAACTATTTGAAAGCCAATATTTCCAAGGTTTCAAGGTGAAAACTAAGACAAGAACAAGACTGAAAACAAGCATCCCTCCAAAAACCTTTCTTTTTTTTTTTTGGTTTGTTTTATCAAAGCAGTAAAAAAAGGATCTTGAGAGACCTCGAAGTAATAGCATCAACAACAGTAACAGTAACAACAACGCAACAAGTGAGCTACTACAGCGAAATAGGTTTTTAGCGGCCTTTTTCATTCATGTAGTGACGTTCTTAAGTGCCGCTAAAAATCCTTGTGGCGAAATAAGAAAACGTCGTAAAAACTAATGCTAAAACCAATGTCGCAAAAGGTAGTGGCGTTTATCGTCCACAAATGCCGCTAAAGGTTATGATTTTTAGCGGCATTTTTTCTACAAACGCATGTAAATGTTATGATATTTAGCGGCTTTTTTGAGAAATGACGCTATATATCTTTTCTTTTGTAGCATTTGTAAAACAATGCCGCTAAATGTTCTGACATATAGTAGTGTTTGTTTTTAGAAACGTCGGTAAAGGTAACGACATATATCGACATTTGTGAATGTAAAACGCCGCTATTGACTATGGCTATAGTGGCGTTTTCTATATAAACGCTGTAAAAGATCTAGAACTTTAGTGGCATTTTTTTTCTAAAACGTCGGTATTGAGTATGTATTTAGTGTCATTTTTTTATCCAAATTCCGTAATTAAAACTGGTTTTTCATATGCTATTTTCTTCTATTTTGTTACCGAAATTTTAATTTGTAACCTGTAGAATTATCTAATAAACTTGACATCCATAACAACAATCTTGAAATCCATAAAAAACCAACTTGAAATCCATAATAATAAATCAAAGTTTACATTAACGTAAAATATAATGTAGTTTAGCATTGTTAACTAGATTGTTAACTAGAATAAACAAAGAATATATCTAAAATAACACCTAAGATGGTGGACTATAGGGTTGATTTTGTCATATCATCTACATCATAGCTTGAAGTCAATTTTCAAAGTTTTCACATTTTTTTCTGATATGTTGTTTCTCTCTCTGCTTCCCTCGCTTCAGTTTTGACTTTCATTTGAGCAACTTTTTGATCCATTTCAGCCAAATGTTATTTTAAACGACTAACTTCTAATTGAAAAGACAGACTCTATGATGCCATGTACTGAGATGAACTGGATCCAAAATATTTGGTTGGAGTAAGGAATGATCCTTGAGAGCAAACCCGACCATATCTTTTAGGACCCAAAACTTCATTAATTACTTGATTTTTGATGTCATCCACATTAACACTACCATGACTTGAAGCCTCTGTCCTTTTATCCCTCAATTTTCCTAATAATCAATTCAATAATAATTTTAAATAAGAATGTCATACTATAGATATAAATATAAATAATTCAAATCTTGTGTCCAATAAATGTAACATAATTTATACAGCTTCATCAGTCATAGGAGTGCCATCCTTTTTTATATGTGTCATGTTGAAGAGCTTTATTCGTCCAACTTTACAACCAGGCATATTTTCCTACAATGTAGAATAAAAATTAAGTCTTGCAATAAAATAATTAATAATATAAATAATTTTCGTTACTATGTGCTACCAACTATAAATCACTATGTGAATAATCAATAATACCTCATCATTAGCTATACAAGCAAAGCTCTTCGATCCAGCTGTGTGAGTAAACTTTTGTTGTTGTCTGCTAGCAACACCAACATGCTCTCGGTCCTATAATTTTAAATTTGTACTTATAAAGTTAATATTATAATGAAATTATATTATTTTTGAAAAATACATCATATTTTTCCTTTCTTTGA